GCTCAGACTTGTGGATTCTAGGCATGGGGCTAGTGGAACTGGGGGCGAGCCCCTAGGTCTGCCCTCTAGGGCAGCACAGAAAAAGTATTCTATGGTGAGTTCATGCAAGATCAGGCTAAACACAATTATGAAACAAAGCCTTTCATTTCATTTGATTTTTGTGTTGCTGCTAAACAATGAATGGCTTTGACAGCAAAATCCTTTGCATGTCTACCTGAGAAGGAATTCTTGTTAAGTTCAATGAGACTTGCTCCTAAGTAAGCGTGTAAGGAGTTGTAGCCTTAACCTGTTTATTTTCATTAGGGTGGATTTTTTCCCACCCAACAATGAGATCCAGGCCTGTCTGAAATACAGCAGCTGAAGTTTGCCAATGGTTTTCAAGAAAGCCAAACATGTGTTCAAAGCTCGATGGCTCTTGGCAGACACTTAGGTTTTAAAGAAGCCCTGATGCCTTCTAGAAAACACAAAAAGACAGTCTGTTTGGAAATAATCTGCTTGTGTCACATCGAGTGAAATCTTAGCTCCTGTGAAGGCAAAGGAAAGTTTGTCATTCACTTTAATGGGGGCAGGCAGGACTCATTGCCCAGGCACATTTATTCTCATGGAGAGGACGATCACACTTTGAAAACATCTTTTGCTTATTTAGCCCATTTATTTCCTTGTTCTATAGCAGTCTATTTAACTATATACAAAATTAAAATGAATTAACAGCAGCACATTCCTATTCATGTCTACTCAGAAGTAAGTCTAAACTGAATAGAGGTGCATAAGATTGTACTGTATAATCTTTCCCCCCACAAAACCCAAACATACATCTTCTACTCACTTACCTGAAAGGAAGTCCTGTTGATCTCACCTGGACTTACTTCTGAGCAGACACATATCTGCTTGTCTTTCCAGGCTCTAGCTGTCACCCAATGTCTCTCTTTCCCTGAAACAAATGAGTTGTACAGGGTCTTCCTTTTGTAGATCTTGACAGGTGACTGTTGCTCATGGATATTATTTTAAAAATGTGACAGGCTCTTAATGAAATGTCTACATCAGCAAATATAGGCTTTCAAAAGCTATTACAATAAATGTTTCATGTGTTAAAGGTATGCTGAATCTCCTGAGGATCACACCCAAAGATTTAGGAGGTGAGAGTCTGGGAGCTCTGGATACTTCTTGATATGTTGAGGCCAGATCTGGTGACTCCTCTTCAATCAGGCGATGACGCTTCGTGCTGCTGGATTGGCCAAAACTGTTCACATTTAGTGAATCAAGAGGCTGAGTTGCTGGGCGCTGGTTGTAGGTCAGTGTATGGGGTCATAGAAAAGCTCTAATTTCACTTACTGTAATATTCATAATATATTTTTGGAGATGGCTGGGAATGGACCCAAGCAGAAATAACCGGCTCCCTGCCCTCCTCTTGGAAATCTGAAAATGCAGGCTTAAAATCTTGAGACCGGAGAAATGCAGAATGGTTGTGCCAGAGAAAGTAAGACAAAACTCGTTTCATCCATGACTAGTGATGGGAGGGAAATTTGATTCGGTTTGCATTTAATAGCAAACTTACCTCATTTGCACCTTCCAAAACAATATGAGAACTGTGACACAGTCATCCTTTGAAATTTGCACTGCTCTGAATTTTGCAATGGCATGTGTACAAAATGTATCTACTAGGGTAAAGTGTTCGTATAAGTGCATACCTTAGTGAATATAACTTTTAAAATGCATTATGTTAGGCATAGACACTGACTGTGCGGGGCCCTAGGTGCCCGAGCACCCACAAATCATAAATGAAGGGGCTGGCGCCCCCCCAAAATTGCACTTAGCCACGTTGGCACCCCCCAACATGTGTTGAGTGACGTCAGCATGCTGCTGGTGTGCCAATGTCACACGCACACTCCCCGAGCACCCACTGTTGCAGGGGCAAGGCAGTGTGGCTGATGCATAACTATTAGGCAAAACTGCATACAAAAATGTGTATATCACAAGAAGTTTGCACTAAGATAAACAAATCACAAACCGATGTGGAAATGTGATTAACTGATTTTAAGACTGGAAAAATGAGAAACTGAGAAAAACTGAAATTGAAATACTCACCCATCCCTGCTCATGACTCCACTGTTCTTATGACCACGCAATCGCTGGTTCCTTTTGGATGCCTATAAACTCAGTTTCAATAATCAACTTGCATCCCTTGGGCTTTTTCTCTCAGTTTAATATTCATCTCAAGGAAGCATATTTATTTGCCTTGCAGAGGCCCAACATGTGCAACTGAGCCAATGGCAGACGTCTCTCTCTCTCTCCTGCATTTCTCAATATTGGCAGAAGCGATCAGACCTCGTTCTGCTGGCCCTGCTTTGGAACTGTGGCCGCTGCTCCTAAGCTGGCCTGGAGCCTCAGCTTCCTGTATTGCAGTATTAGAACCAAGAAAGTAGCAGCTTTCCACCCCACCAGGGACTGGGGAGTGAGCCCAGTTAAAACTGCCATGGGGGAGAAATGGAGTCAGGCAGTGAGCTGTGCTTGAACCACACAAAGCTATGGGGTGCCAAAGAGGCCCAGCACAGATGGTGGCAGCTGCAGGAATGAACGCTGTCTTTCTGGACTCACTGTACTCTTCCATGCTGCCCAAAACTAAGCCTGCTTTGTCTGATCTCTTGGGCAAGTGAGGTTGGACTTCGCTGTTTGTCTGTTGGAGCCCTGATGGTGTTTTAGGCAAGGGTTCAATCAGCTCTACAGAAAGGGAGGGGACCAGGGCCTGCAAAAATGGATTTGCGGGAGAGTTAGCAGAGCATAAAGGCTCATAAATGCTTCCCAAATCCTATACTTTCTCTCACATTGTTATGCTCACCCACATATTGGAGTACTGAGATATTCCAGGGGGTGCAGCACATGTTTCCTTGGGATGGGAGGTCACTGGAGGCTTAATTGAATACCTGCATTTGTTTACAAATATACAGGCTGGGCTAAGGTGGAGGTGTAACTCGAATACTCCAGAGGTGGCTAAATCTAGTGGCTCACATCAGATCTCGAGAGAGAGGCAGCTCTTACAATGCTCACAGAGCCTACAACTCAGCTCTTTTCCTTGTCCTCTGTATGGCCTCCAGGTTTCCTTCCAACTTGGTAATTTTACGATTCTACAATCAGTTTACTCACTGGTGAATTTATACATGTTCATATGCCTTATACAACTCCAGATTGTCCAAGACTGAGGCCAGGGCTTTATTCACGCCATACATCAGGGGAACTGCAGTTTGGTGAGGGTGCTGAGATTTTTGTTCCCCTCCCAGAGTTACAATTTTCAGAGTGGTTCAACAATCAACCATCTTCCTGGGGAACCGAGAATTGTAGCTTTGGGAGGGGAGTAGGGGTCTCCTAAAAACTCTCAGCACCCTTAACCAGTGGTGGCCATTGGGGTCTCAAATTTCAGCGGTGCCCTGTGTGACGCTGAAATTCGACGGCACCCGCTTCTCGCCTTTTGGACTACTTCAGAGCCAGTGTGGTGTAGTAGTTAAGAGCGGTAGTCTCGTAATCTGGTGAACCGGGTTCGCGTCTCCGCTCCTCCACATGCAGCTACCGGGTGATCTTGGGCTAGTCACACTTCTCTGAAGTCTCTCAGCCCCACTCACCTCACAGAGTGTTTGTTGTGGGGCAGGAAGGGAAAGGAGACTCCTTCGGGTAGTGATAAAACAGGATATCAAATCCAAACTCCTCCTCCTCCTCCTCTTCTTCTTCATAGCTGCGATGCCCCTGTGGCGGCCCCAAGGCTCCACACCCAGTGTGACCACACTGGTTGCGCTCCCCCAAATCTGACTCTGCCTTAACAAGCTATACTTCCCAGGATTCTTTGAGGGAAGCCATGACTATTCAAAGAGGTATCGTGGTGCTTCAAATGAATGGTGTGCATGTGGCCCTGGAAAACAGGTTTCAAGGGCTGACTCACAGTTGAAATGAATTAGTAATGATATATCACCATGTAGAGAGGATACCAAGAACATGCTCTAAGAAAGAAGGGGGTGACATGAGACATAGAAAAAGAAATGAAAGTGTCATTTAAGAATGTGCCTTGCAAACACAACAGTAGAAACTTATTTTTAATAAAAGTGCAACAAAGAGTAGCATTACTTATATTTATACATTTGTATGAAAAGATCAGAGTGGTTTCCATTGAAAACATATGCTAAATGCACGAAATGTTTCTACACTTGTAACCACTGTGGGAAATGATATACTATAATGGTTGCAAATGTGGAATAAAAACATAAGATTGCTTTTTTTTAAAAGCAGTTTGTTTTATGTCTCTTTGTTGATATGGCTGAGGGCTAGAATTTTAACCAAGCTCTTTTTTTTTAATAAAACAGAAGGTTTTGTGACAAGGCCTATCATTTGGCATGTCAAAAGCATGAAATATTTTTACAGTTGACACATAAATCAGTCCTTACCATGGAAATGCAATGTACTTTAAAAAATTTCCAGACATAGGTAAATGTTATGCTATATAGCTAAATAAGTAAATAAATAGTCACAAACAGCAATGACTGTGCAAAAACAAAAACAAAAAACTATTGGACAAAGTGTCTCTACTATCCTATATTAGCAAACTTTTAATGTTCATTAAATGCCTGTGTGTCGTAGTCTGTGGGGCAAAGCTCCTGGGAAGTGATTGGGTTCTAGAAAATACCCTATAAAGAGAGTCTCCCAGCACTGTAGTCCTGATCCAGATTGGGTGGCCCAGCAGCTGCATTTTCAGAAAACAAGGGAGATTTGATCCCTGATACCATACACCTAATTTGGCCTCCAAAGACATCATTCTAGGTAAGTTATTACAACTGTATGCTTGCTAGAATCTTTCATTGCATCCCTTCTTGGCCCAAACGTTGCAACACACATGTAAACATCAAGAACATCACAAGCTGCTTATACTGAGTCAGTCCATTGGTCCATGTAGATTAGTTGTGTTTACATGGTCTGGCAGCTGCTCTCCTGTGGTTTCAGGCAGGGGCCTTTCCTGGCCCTACCTGCACCAGGGGTTGAACCTGAGGCCTTCTGCATTCAAAGTAGATGCTCCACCACTGAGCTACTCCCTGAAGCTATGGTCTCTGATGTTACATCTGGCATGATCTCTGATAGGATTATGATCTTGCATGTTTACCTTGTGACCTGGACCAACTGGATTATCCCCCCCCCCCAGTTCCCCATGTCTTCTTTGCCTACCATTTGTTGTTGTTGTTTTGTTGTTTAGTCGTTTAGTCGTATCTGACTCTTCGTGACCCCATGGACCAGAGGACGCCAGGCACTCCTGTCTTCCACTGCCTCCCGCAGTTTGGTCAAACTCATGCTGGTAGCTTTGAGAACACTATCCAACCATCTCGTCCTCTGTTGCCCCCTTCTCCTTGTGCCCTCAATATTTCCCAACATCAGGGTCTTTTCCAGGGAGTCTTCTCTTCTCATGAGGTGACCAAAGTATTAGAGCCTCAGCTTCAGGATCTGTCCTTCCAGTGAGCACTCAGGGCTGATTTCCTTCAGAATGGAGAGGTTTGATCTTCTTGCAGTCCATGGGACTCTCAAGAGTCTCCTCCAGCGCCATAATTCAAACGCATCAATTCTTTGGCGATCAGCCTTCTTTATGGTCCAGCTCTCACTTCCATACATCACTACTGGGAAAACCATAGCTTTAACTATTCGGACCTTTGTTGGCAAGGTGATGTTGGCCTACCATTAGCGTAAGCAAACTGCACAGACGAGTTCCTTTCATACTCCTGTTGGATTTGGAGCAGGCCGGCCACAAGAGCGAGAACAATAGCAAAAGAATGAGCTGGTTCTTGTGATGTGGCTGTTGTTTCCCTCCCGCTCTTCCCTTCCTTGTTTAGTGACAGGTGGCATTTTTCTAAGCCTCTCGTGGGCAGCTGGTGGATGGTTGACTCCAGCTGGCCAGCTTCTCTCCATTTAGCCCCTGCCACACCTGCTTTGCACAGCAAACAAGAGCCTTTTAAAAGATGGGCAGCAACTAGCAACTGCTCACATGAGGAGGGAAATCTGGGCCCAAACACATCTTCACATTTCTCCCGCTTGCAGATTCCGACCTGCTTTCTCAGCCCAGAAAGAAAGAATCCAAGGTGTCTTCCTCCCTTTCCCTTCTTCCCAGTGCTTTGTTATTTTCTTCTCTTTAACACAGACATCTCTCTCTCTCCCTCTCACTCTCTCTCTCTCTCTCTCTCGTTTGATCAGATTTGTCCCCCCCCCCCCAAACTTCCTTTCCCTTGAAGCACACAGTGACAGGAGAATGCTTGCCCCTCGGAGCCTTTTTTTATTGTTCGGAATTAAGAAATGGCAGAATGGGCTCATGAAAGATTAATGACTTCCTGTAAGCATCTTTGTACCTGAGGACAAGCAATTACAAAAATATGTCCAAAAGGCCGGGGGGGGGGGTGAGGGCTGGGGGTGAGGGGGAAGGGGAAAGAAAACCAAACAAGAAAGGATGTTAAGGGTAGACTGGCCAGGTATTTCCTGACAGCAGACGGAAAACTGAGCTTTGCTTCGCTGTGGCTTCACTGAGCAAGCAAATCTCGTTTCCCGGGTGAAACGTCAACTTGTACCTAAAGTTGTCAAGGGACGCCCTTTATTCAACTCTTGCATGTCTCGGTGTAAGAGAATGGCTGTCCCTGAGCAGCTCTTTGAAAGGTAGCCAGCTTGGCGTTTCTCAGTGCCACAGGAGGAGCAATGAGGGAATTCATGGCTGTCGTCCAATAGGGTAGCCCCCAAAAAGAAAACCCATATCCTGAAAATAGGACAGAAAAGGGGTGTAAAAGTTACATCTACTAACTTGCAGGTATAGATTTATTTTTATTTATTAATTACATTGGCGCTGTGGATTAAACCACCGAGCCTAGGACTTGTCGATCAGAAGGTCGGCAGTTCGAATCCCCGCGATGGGGTGAGCGCCTGTTGCTCAGTCCCTGCTCCTGCCAACCTAGCAGTTCACACGTCAAAGTGCAAGTAGATAAATAGGTACCACTCTGGTGGGAAGGTAAACGGTGTTTCCGTGCACTGCTCTGGCTCGCCAGAAGCGGCTTAGTCATGCTGGCCACATGACCTGAAAGCTGTATGCCGGCTCCCTCGGCCAATAAAGCGAGATGAGCACTGCAACCCCAGAGTCGGCCACGACTGGACCTAATGGTCAGGGGTCCCTTTACCTTTACATTTCCTCCAAGAAACTCAATGTGGTGCATATGATTCTCCCCTCACCATTTTATCCTCACAACAACCCTGTGAGGGAGGGCTGTGAGACAGTGACTGGCCCAAGGCCACACAGAAAGCTTCATAGCAGAACAGGGATTCAAACCCTGGTATCCCATGTCATACTCCACATTGGCTCTAGATGCCGATTTTGAGACTTTGGGTTGTATGCAAAGCAGTAGCAGCCGAGTTCTGCTGCCGCAGAAGCACTTCTGTTTAGTTTCCTTTCTTCTCCAAAAGATCTACTTCATGTGTACGAGGCTGATTCTTCCTGCAGAGCAAGCTTTCGTGACCAAGATCTATAGCAGGCACCCCCAACCTTCAGCCCTCCAGATGTTTTGGACTACAATCCCCATCATCCCTGACCATTGGTCCTGTTAGCTAGGGATCAAGGGAGTTGTAGGCCAAAACATCTGGGGGGCTGCAGGTTGGGGATGCCTGACCTATAACCTCAAAGAGAAGGATCTGTGTGGTAAGTAATAGCTGTGAGGTAGGTGATGACCTCAAAAGGCCAACTCTTGCCACTAGTGGCATCTTGGTCATACATCAGCAGCTGGGGCAGCAGTTCATTCTTCTGCATCCTGATACCCAGACTTTGAGCCAGTGGAAGGAATCCACTGTGGGATGTCCTTTTCTTCTTCTTAAAAGGAACTTCCAGTTTGGATCAATTTGTGCTGCTGCACAAGGAGAACAGAACCCTTTCCGCTTACACTGATCCCCTGTTGTGAATGAAACATACACACAAACTTGAGCTGCTATTAGTCACAGAGAGAATACATCTAGGCTCTTCTATGGCCAACATCCACTCGGGGTGTGTGTGTGGATTTGATTGGGAAATCAGTGTGGGGGAAAGGGTTAACCCCCCCTGCACCATGGCCCTGATCCAAATGACCTCTGCCACAGCTCTTTTTCAGTTCTTTCCCATGTCATGTGACATGTTGTTTGGCCCTGAATCTCAGGCCTGTAGATGATGAGGAGGATACAGGCAATTCCCCATTTACGCTGGGGTTACGTTCTGAGGCACTGCACGTTGAAGTGAAATTGTGTATATTTGAAACACCATTGGAAAAGCCTGCAAACAGTGACATACCGTGGGGGACCCAGTGGGGCCATGGCGCTGGGCACAAAATTCTGAGGGGTACAATAATGCGCCCCCACGCAAGTGCTGGCTTCTGCTGGGATCTGTGTCCCAGTGGCTTGTGGGATTGCTAGATACTGTTTTTAACACCTTTTTTTGCCCTTTCTAGGCTCGTTCAGGGCCGTTTCTGCCATTTTTAAAGTCACTTCCAGGTTTAGTGCAATGTGTGTGTGGACACACATAAATTTGTCATTGCCTATAATATACAGTGGTACCTCAGGTTACAGACGCTTCAGGTTACAGACTCCACTAACCCAGAAATAGTACCTCGGGTTAAGAACTTTGCTTCAGGATGAGAACAGAAATCACGCGGCGGCAGCGGGAGGCCCCATTAGTTAAAGTGGTACCTCAGGTTAAGAACAGTTTCAGGTTAAGAACGGACCTCCAGAACGAATTAAGTTCTTAACCCGAGGTACCACTGTAAATATAAATGTAATGCTGGCTTACAATATATAGCTTTTTTCATGCCCCCTCCCTCCCCGGAGTCCTGTGTTCTTGTAAAGGTTCATTTTCTGCTTGATTTCCTAGCATTTGCTTTGGGTTCACAGAGAGAGTCAAGGTAAGAGCCTGAGAAGAAACCCTATATACCGAGTACTTTAAAGTGAACATTCATCATTCAACTTGCTTTCTGTCACTGCCTTTGAGGGAGACGAGGGAACTAAAAACAATCTCCTGTTTCTCTCCAAAAAGCATCAACACTGCAGATAGACACAACTGACTGGAACTCATTTATATTCAAAGGAAGCATACATCTATTATTCAATTAAGTAACTAAAAAAGCCCAACTGATGTCAAAATATCACAGCATGAGAACAGAATGTAACTTAAGAAAATGACACAAAAATATTGCTTCACTCATCATAAGTAGTGTACAAAATGCAAATGGATGTACTATAAGTAAGCAGACAGAAGCACTGTTTTTTGGTAGTCTTTCAGAGCATACACACACACACACACACACACACACACACAGAAGTATGTTCCACAAGTGTTTGACCATCTGGTTAGTGTGCATAGGATTACAACCTCAGTTCTTCATTAATTAATTCTAAATTACGGGGCTTTGTATGCAGCTGGTGAAGGAAGAGTTATCTGCAGTGCATATTTGCTTAGACATGGACATGATCCAGTCAAAAATAACATCACACATTTGTCTTGCTCTTTTTGTTGTAACATTGACTCCAAGCTACGGTGCCCTGTGTCTCACCTGAGTTGGCCTAAGAATTGATTCTGAAACTATTCCCTAACAACGACACCGCATGGAATAGCCTTTCAGTTAGGTCTTTGTTGAAGACTGTCACCACTCTTTAACATGTGATTAAAAATAATGGTTACAACTTCATGAAACTTCAGGACAGAACTTCCACTTAAGTGGTTCTTCAGATGCAGAAACCCTGTTGAGCACGCTAGTTCCATTTGTGTGTTTGAGGTGAATGTGTGCTGGTTTAAAGTACAGTGGTACCTCAGGTTACAGGTGCTTCAGATTACAGACGCTTCAGGTTACAGACTCCACTAACCCAGAAATAGTACCTTGGGTTAAGAACTTTGCTTCAGGATGAGAACAGAAATCGCGTGGCGGCAGCAGGAGGCCCCATTAGTTAAAGTGGTACCTCAGGTTAAGAACAGTTTCAGGTTAAGAACGGACCTCCAGAACGAATTAAGTTCTTAACCCGAAGTACCACTGTACAAGCAGGGGAACATACACAAACCTTGCTAT